TCTTTTGAAAAAATTGTCAATTTTGTCCCTTTTCTCAGCATATAGCCTATTTAGTTTGCCTGCCATGTGATTTTATTGTAATTAGCTATTACAATATATATTATTTGTCTAATTACTATGTACCATATAAGAGTGAAATAACACACAGGGGCGTTATTTGAATAATGGCCCAAATTAGACCAAAATTCGAAATTACACCTCTGTGCATTATTTTGCGCTTATACAGTAATATTATAGCATGGCCACTTTATATTATAAATCACTTTCCTTTTATTTTGTCATTAATGCTTGTTATTTTGTATGATATATATGCTATCCATATTTGTATTACATTGCACTATACAATTAAAGAAGTTTAAAAAAACATAAACAGTGTAGAGTATAAACTCGATATAATGAAGCTCTGGAGCTAAAGATTTTTTTCGTTATATCAAACCTTTATTGGTAGTTTCGTTATATCGGTGTCAATTTAAGCATAAAAATTAGAAATAATTTTCACTATACGCCAAATGACTTAATTAAGCTCATGATATTTATTTGTTATAAAAAAAAATAATAATAAATCTGTTATTGGATGCACCGCATCCCAATAACAGCATATCTGGCTTTGAATTTAATGTGCTTGACAATCTGAGCCCCTTTGGGGCCCAGGTTAGCATATTAAATTCAAAGCCAGATACTTCTTATATTGGTCATCCAAAATAGATAATTCTGTGATCCAAAGGATTACATTTCTTCTGCCAAAAAAAACTGTTATTAGATGCTACACATCCAATAACTATTTAATATTAGCTATATAACAATTAAATCAAATTAGAGATTTTATTTTTACCTTTTATATTTTTTTTATTTTATATTTAATAATAATATTATTATTATTAGGCTTCAAACTTATAATAGTTCTTGTTAATTTAGTATTTAAATAAATTTGTATTTATTAGTTAATATTATAAAAATATTATATAATTATAATATTTGCTATAATGGTATTATCAAGAAAAAATATCTATTTTAGTTTTTTCTCTAAAAAATATAGTCTTGATAAAAGATATTCTAACAAGTAGTTATTGTTAGTAAAGCTAAGTTATTCTAAATAAAAAATGTGTTTGTATTATAATTATTGTTTTTTTATTAGTATAGATTTGAGTAATATATTGCTATTTTAGATAATTTGTAGCTATAAAATACTAGAGTTAGTTTAAATAATAATATTAATAGATATATGTTAAGCTATTTTACTAAATTTAATATACACAAAAAAATTAAATTGATTTAAATTTTGTCAAATATATTTGAATATTAGAACTATCTTTTTGTATAATTTCAGTAATACTTAATAATAAAAATTTTATACAGTTTATTCTTAAACCTTGTATATTTTTTTAAAATTTTGTTGTACTAAATTTAGTATAGTTTAAAAAATCATATTGTATAAAAATTTATAATAAACTTAAAAAAAATACCAAAACTTTGGATTGTTTTAAATTTAATTTTGATCTTGGTATAGTTAAAAAAAATAAATAATACTTTTTTAAATAGCTTAAATAAATCTGTTTTAAAGTAATGCATGTCTAAAAATGATTAGATTTTCTGTATATTTATATAAAAAACTTAGTAAAAATTTAGTAAAATTAAATTACTTATACTTTTTTATCTACTAAACCAATTTTAATGATTTTAGATACTAATATAACTTTGATAAGTTATCTAATTTTTAAATATACTAAAATAAAATATAAATATAGAATTAAATTTAATTTAAAGTTAATAATACCAATTTTTTAAAATTGTACTTATAAAACTGTACTAAATTTAGTATAGCAAATAGATATCTATTAAGATAAATATTTTATAATTTTATACAGTTTATGACATCTAAAGACTAAAATAATTTTAAAAGCTAATAGCTCATGATACAGAAAAGATACAATAAAAAGGAAGCCGCTAAATTGTAGCTATGTTAATTTGCTACAACTTAACGGCTTTATTTTAAAAATAAATATTATATATTTTTGATTTATAACAATTTAAATATGCTTTATTTTTATATATTTTTATATGATATGTCAAAAAATTAACAAAATTGTGACAAGTCACATGTTTTGGCTCTTGGTTATTGGCTAATTTTTAAAAAATTTGTTAATTAATAAAATTTTAGTCAATAGAAAAAATTTTTTTAGCCAATCAAAATGCAGGAAATCAACAAAATATCAAAATTTAATATAAAATTTTTTAAAATGGGACAAAATTTGCATTTTAGTCTTTAGGTGTTACACACTGTATAAAAATTAAAAAGCTAATAAATATTAGTTTATTATATTTTTTTTTGAGATTTTATTAAATTTTTTTTAAAGTTAGTTATTTAATATTAATAAAAATTTACAAAAATTTTATAATAAAGCTTAACTAGTTAATATAATATAGTATTTTAAAAATTATATTATATAACTTGGCTAATATAGTATAATTTTATCTTCAATTCTGTATTATGTAATATTTATATAATGCAAAATTAAAAGCTAAAATTATGCTATACTAGCCAAGCTATATAATATAATTTTGATATATTATATCAACTAGTTAAGTTTTATTATGTATTTTTTTGTAAATTTTTACTACTGTAATATCAAATAATTAACTCTAAGAAGGTTAATAAAATTTCAAAAAAGAGTATAATAAGTTAATATTTGTTAGCCCTTTTAGAATTAGAATTGAATTATAAGAGAAATATTTTGTTGGTTACACAACAGGATTACTTTAGTAAAATTTTGGAATATTAAAAAAAAACACAATATATATAAAGCACTATCTAATCTAGTTCTATAAGTAATAAGATTATTTATATAATATTCTAATAGATTTGATTTTTACTACAAATAACCGGTGGTAATTATCACTGCCTCTTAGGGTGCAGTTTGGAATATATAGAAAGGTAGATTTTGGGGGGTTGAACATTTTTGCTTAGTATCTTTGATATAAATTAGCTAGTAGGTTTTTGAGATCTAGCACCCTGATGATAATCACTACCGGTTATAGTTAGTAGTATTCATATTAATAATAATATTTATACAGATATAATTAAAATTTATTTATACGAATCTTAATTTAAAACAAATATTATATACTGTATTGATTATAAAATCTTGAAACAATATAAACTCTTAATTTCAAAATTTCGTGATTAAATTTTAGACTTGTTAAAACCATCTTATGTAGAAGTTAATCAGTTTAAAGTAAGCGAATTAGCGAATTAAAATTGTTCATTATCAATAATTATATGTTATAACAATTAATCAAAATACCAAGGGTGGTATCCTGGCATGAACTTTAGCAAATAAATTTTTTTTTAGTCACATTGCACATCCTATTTGCAATAAATAAATAAAAAACTACCATATTTTTCTCGGTTAGGAAAAACCCCTACTGGTATTTAGAGAAAATTACAACACCAATAATAAATTATTTTAGCTAATTCTAACTTTAACGATAATTAAACTATTGAAACAATTACGCGAAATACAATTTAAAGATTAATTTGTTTTCGGTAAAAGAATTATATATATGCAGTTAGTTCTGCCAATGAATATGCAAACTATAGGAAACAAAGTGATGATTCATAGAAACAAATTTCGGTGCAAATAAATCTCACACCAATCAAGACCATTTAACAAAACCATTGAAAATTTTTAATGGTGCTTATGAAAATGATTAGCAATCGTTATGGAATTACTTACGTACTACGTATGTACGTAATCGATTTTTTCTATTTATTGAATCAACTTCTTAGAATGGTGATCGAAAATGATGGACAATGACATTGTCTACATTAGCTACATTTTAATAGCCAAACATATGAACTTAACATATTTAGCCTAGATTATATTACAGTATATATTTATATGTACATTATCACCTATGTATGTCTATCAAAGAGATTACACCTGGTTTTGGCACAGAATGATTGTTGTTGTATTAGTAGGTCATGTTCACACCGTGATTTGATCGAAAACATGCAGACATACGTACATATGTGCACATGTACGTACATACGTATGTATGTACATATGTACATCCACGTATCGGTATGTACTGGATCTAAAAAAGGCGCGGAAAGCGAATAAAAATGGAATAAATGGAATTAGGTGATTTTTAAATTTTAGGGTGGCGCTTCGGGTAACTAAGATGAAACGATTGCTCATTTCAGGACCCATATTTAATAATACTAAAAATGATTTTTTTTTGTCTCAATTATTTTTTAGTAATATCGACAATAATTTGTGATCGGGTGAGCGAATCATGTATTATCCACACTTCACCTATAAACATATTAGGAAATTAACAACAGGAATTTAATTGGATAATATAAGTGATACAAAGACATGAATAAAGAGAGAAAATAGTATGCGAATTACCAAAATTACCCAAAAAGAATGCAGTCACGACATTGGGCACGCTAATAAAAAAGCAGGAAAGAAATTCTCGTGTAACTAATTTTTATTAGTTGCAAAAAGAAAAAAACATATATATATTTGTTTTCGAAGAAATTGGTATTTACAAGTTCTTTTTCCGAAAAGATTAATCAATACACAAACTTACATTCTTTTATTGTTTTTCTCCCTTTTTCCCCCTTATTTCTTCCCAACATACTTCTTTTTTAAAAAGATCCTTAACACAACAAAATCCATATATTATTAGAAAATAATTTTTTCCTCTTAACTCGATCATTTGCAGCTTTTATTTACCGAAAACTTAAAATACATACATACCGACATATATGTAAACAATTAGCAATCTTTTAGCCTGTCTTTTTTTGTTTTTCAAAAAAAGGCTTTTATGAGTTGTATCAATTTCTTTTTGAAAAAGAACACAAAATTTATAAATTAACGATATAACAACAATATATTGAAGGATATAATTTTGTACAAGTGTATTGAAAAGTAATTACCTTACATCGATTACAAGGGAAGAAAGTCATATTAAACATGATATCCGATACAGACATGGAAATTCTAAATAAACCGGAAGTTGACAATGTTAAATTTTCAAAGCAATCAACATTTTCAGCTTATAACAATTCCTTGAATCCTATGTCACCTAAAAAAACAGGGAGTATTAAACGAAAACATTCACATAGTCAAAAGACTACTATTAGCAATTATCCAAGTGTAGGAGAATTACTTTGGGATAATGGGAAAATGTTTAGTGATGTTAAATTATCATTCGAAGATAGAGAAGGTTTAGCTGCTCGCGCAGGAATACCTTCGGAACTTCGATTACATTCTTTAATCTTATTTCAATCACAATTCTTTAAAGAACAACTTTCACAAACATCGTCAAATGTCTCATCGTTACCAAAATCTAACATGAGAAAAGAAAAACAGATCATTGTTAAATTACCATATCGAGTTAATGAGGAAGATATGGTTAATTTTTATTGTACATTAAAATTAATGTATACAAAAAAATGGGACATTGAATTAGCAAATAATCTAGCAAAAGGTGTCGGATGTTTGTCAGTTTGCTGGGAAATAGGATTTCACGAAGGAATTGAAGCTTGTTGGAAATGGTTGGTACGAAAATGTAGTCGAGATAGAAATAAGGAAATGATGAAAAAATTAATAGATGCATACCCGAGATTACATGAAAGATTTACACATCAAGTTGATAATGTAAATAGTTCATTGGCTGAATTACTTGCAGATACATCATTACAAAGAGCTCCAAGTTTAACAAAGAATAAAAAAGTACCAACTTTACCACGTAGATCAATGCGGCGGCCAAAAAATGCTCGTCGAATAACGAAAACTGGTGATGAATCTGAAAAAACATTTTTATCTCCTTTATTAAAATCGGATAATAGTGATACATCAACATTATCATCGTCCAACTCATCATTATCTCCAAAAGCTTCTTCAAATTCTCTGAAATCTTCATCAGCTTCTCCAAAAGTTTCATCAACATCTCTAAGAACTCAATACGAAAATGGAATTCCTACACCACATCAACCCACTATCAATAACTCATTACCATCACCACCATTATCGGCTTCACCATCACTTTCTCCAGTGTTAACGCAAACCTTACTATCATCACACACAATGTTACCTTTTCCAACGATACCGACATCAATACCAACAAGCTTTAATAATGTTCAAATACTTGACATATGGATATCAAAATTCGAGACATTTTCTATAATGTCGAGACGATCATGTGCAAATCTTCCTTTGGAAGATAGAGATGATAACAGATGTTTCCCATTTTTAGGACATTTTGGTTTAATTTTTGAATCTATTAATCAACTTGGAAGATCGAAAATTATTGCTTCAAAGGATTGTTTAGATTTTGCACTTCGTATGTTAAATGTTATTAAAATTGAACATTCTCATTTTCATATGTTACATAATGCATATAATCAAAAAAATGGAGTAGGAGAAGAACTTTTATCACAATCGATAGTACTTCATGAATCATTAGACGAACCTTTAACAATATTATTAAAAGAAATATTATCACCAATAGATCAAAAACATTTATGTGATTATTTGTGGGCTCCAAGTAATATTTCAAATTTAATGCATCTTCGAGAGATTCGAAATGGTAATAGTAATCTTATGGAAGATGAATTTGAGGAATATGAAGAGATTATGAGAGAAGTTAGTTTGATTGAAGGTTCAAGGGTTAGTCATGTTGAACATATGATAGTTGGTGAAAAAATGGCCAAAGCTATGAGAGGAATCTTAGCAAAAAGTAGTTATAAATTTATTTAATAATATATTTCAGGCGTTTTTAAGTTTATATTAGTTGGTTGTATCTTATTTTCTTGCGTGTACTTTCATTACTATACTTTAGAAATTACTTAAACATAATAGTATATATATAATGTTATTAGCTGTTAGTAATATTGTGACAATATGATTGTATTGTATTGTATTTTTTTAAAGTTAATATATAATTGTTAAATACTGGTTGGTTTAAAATTATCTTATCCAGAGCGTAGTTACAGTATTTTAGTCAAAATTATACGTTAATTACGTCTTTGATTCACTCTTACTATAATTAAAATTTATTAATCAAAAAAATAGTATCTATTCGCACGTATGTGATATATTGAACCTAGCTGCCGCGCGAATAATGCGTGGCAGCATTACAGTTGTTTAACTATTGATTCCGACGGTCATCAAAAATTTTTCAATTGTCCCGGAATTTATGAGAACAGCTGTAATTTAGGCCGATAATCTTCAAATTTCTTAATTTTGGCCGGAAATTGATTATTTAGCCACAAAAAAGGAAAATTTTTTAAAATAGGTCTGCTCCGTGGTAAGTTTGGCTCCAAATGTCATTAGTAGAAGAATTTTGCTAATTATTTTTTTTTTTTTGCCACTCATTTTTTTGTGTGGCACCTAGGATAAATTAAGTTTCGGATAATAAATTCGATTTCAAATGAGTGCCGCCAAGGGAAAAGGGAACATTCGTTTAGGCTTTCAATTATGATAAAACTAACCTCTGAAATTGTCGTCTTAGTGAAAGCTCGATATGTTGTCGATAATCAGATGAATGCTCCCTTTTCTCTTGGCGTCACTCAAATAATAAAATTGTGCATTACGAGGTGTCTGAGTTCAATTTAGGTTTGATGTGCTTATATATATTATAATATATAAATTATATAGATAAAAACAAAACCCATAAACAATATGTATAGTTTGCATAATAATATTTTGACTACATTAGAGATATTAGAGATGGAAATTATAATGTATAATTAGATTGGTATAAATGCAAGGATCGTCGGTACTGTTCCTGATAGATCAATTTACAGACATACCGTTCTTAGCATGATTACTTTCTGACTATATAATATAATATTTACAAAAATAATTATCTTTGAAATTTTTTATAAATACAAAATAGTACTGTAATATTATACCAATATAAAATATGTAGATGATTATCTTTAGAATAATTAATTATCTATGACATAAAACAATATTATACTTATATAAATAATTGTATGTAGCACGGCTAAAAAATTTGTCATGCTACCTAACAAATTTCATGCCAGAATGTCATCTTGACATACCAATAGTATGCTATCATATCACCCATCTAAAAACCCAGATAATTCACAAATCCCGAAAACTTCTGACAACCTTGCTTATATTTTTATGTTCATTGGCCATTTACAATTTCGAATTTTTTTTAACAATAGACGAATGTATATATTGAATATATGGGCTAGGTGTTGCAAAAAGGAGTAAATCGGCGAAATTTTCAAACTAGTTTTTTTTTTGCACAAATTAATTTAAAATAAGATTAGAATTATTTTTCACTTAAAAAACTGTATATTAATAAAATTTTGTAGTATAGCTCTTTAAAGTTTGTATTTTCTTATGATTTATTATAAAATTTATTATATATATAAAAATTGATTTTTGAAGATCTTTTGTTTTGTTGATTTACCTCTTTTTGCAGCACCAAGCCGGTCTATTTTGGCATGCCGTGGTGGCATGCTCATAACTGCTGTGCTACTTATCTACTAGAATAGTTATTTGTACTATTTTTTTATATAAAGATTTTTGTAATTTATATTTAAAAATAATTATTACTAGATTGACTATTTTTTTTTTTTCTTTGATAACCACATACTAATTATTAACCTTATAATTCTTAATACAAAACTAAGCTATTTAATAGGCAGATTAGACTAAAACCCAGTTAGATGTTCAAGCTTGGTTATTATACTGACATTGGCTACTATACCCAATATATGGTATGGTGCATTTAAAGATATAGTTTAGTCTAAGCTTAGCTTTCATCCTGTCATAACCTTTTTTTTCTTTCAAATTCTTCCTTCTTCTCAAGAGGCACAAGATAAAATAGGGAAATTTTAAACAAAAGGGTTACAAAAATGGCTAGAAAAAAAAAACCAAAAAACAAAGAAAAAAAAAATACTGATTTCGAAAAAGAAAAAAATATAAAAAGAAATCTAAAACTCTAAAGGCATTATTATAACCCATACATAGCTAATAAATATTATATAACAAATACAACATTTGTATATTTCTCTTGTAAAGATTTGCTTTAATGTTAAGTTTATTTTCTAATCTTCTTATCAACTCTGGATAGCTTTATTGCCTATTCTAATTTATATCTTGAGCTAGGTATTGCTGTTATCTGAGGACTCATATTTAGAAAAAAAAATTTGATATACACTTGTGTGGTTTATATATAAATTTTTTTTGTACACAAAAAAAATATAATATTGTGTACAAAGTATATATAATTTTTTAATAATTATTTAAAATAATATATACAATATAGTTAATCTTGTTTTGCTATAGCAAACTTTGTACACACTAAGTTTAAAATTTAGGTTACAATTTTGACTTTGAATTTTTCTTCTTGCTTATATCTCAAGCCACCTGCTGCCATAATTAAAGTTCTCAGGCTAAGTTCTATAAAGTAGTACTATATTTATTTGTAAACAAACATATAATTATATTCTACTAGTTTATCTAAATTTGAGAAGTAAATACTAATCTTTTAGAGAAGATAGACTAAATCCCACTTTTTATTGAAATTTTTAGAAGACTGATGAGAAGACAAGAGAAAGAAAAAGAGAAACCACTTGACCAAGTAAAAGGAATATAGTTTGAGAAAAATATATTATTTTGTTGTTCTTTAATATTTTTATAAAAGTATAGCCTAAGAGCTTTATCAATAAAAAAAAGCTTTGGAGTGTGGCAACATAGTAAAGTGGTAAAGTTGTTAACCCAAGCAGCAGGTCTAGAGTTCAAATTCCAGGAACGATAATATTGAAAAATAGACCTGTGTTTGATATGATTATCTGCTGATCGGTTATTTGGTACATATCTAGAATAGGAACTTTGATATATGAAATCTAAATAATTAGAATAATTAATACCTGTTTAGAAGCTCCGAGTAAGGAGATAGCCAAAATCTTCAATAGCTATAGAAAAAACCAAAATTGGAAGTTAAAACCGAGACCAATAAACTGAGTGTCAAAAAATCCTTAAATGGGGAGATCTACCAACCAAACTGCCAATTTGGAAAAACTAAAAATTGACAAATATATGTTTAGGGTCTCTAAAAATCTTACAAAAACTAAATTTGGAATCTAATATTAGCTTTACTGTATATTATATTATATAAAAAAAATTCTTAATAACTATATCCTAACTTTAAAATATCTAGAGGCAGTGACAATCATTGCTAGTTATTTGTAGTAAATCTTTTTTAAATAAAAATATTTAAGGATAGGGTGAACATCGATCATTTTTACTAGTGATCACATTACTAATTTTTTTACAATAACATTTAATTCGTGATTCACCTGAGAACTAGTAAAAAAGCATAGTAAACTATAGAAAAATTTACTATTATTTTTTGCCTTTTTTAGAATCTGGAGTTTTCCAAAAGATAAATCGATTTTTTACTAAGCTACTCTCTCTTCAACATCTAACAAAAGTTGTAGAGAAGTGAATTTCGAGCATAATGGTAGTTTATATATTTAAATAGGCACAGAGGATCATGAGATATAGGCATTTTTGTCTTTGCAGCTTCTTTGTATAAACAAAGAAGTAAACATATAGTTGTGAAGACAAAAATGCACATATCTCATAATCCACTGGGCTAATTTTAACGTTTCAACTACCATTATGCTCAAAATTCTCTCCTCTACAACTTTTATTAAAAGTTGAAGAGAGGGTAGCTTAGTAAAAAATTGATTTGTCCTTTGAAAAACTCCAGATTCCAAAAAAACCAAAATTTACATAGTAAACATATCTCCAAAGTTTATTATGCTCTTTCACTGGTTCCTAGGCGAATCACAAATTAATTGAAATCAGGTGATAATTATATGATATTTATATCATGTAACCTAGGCAAATTTCGAACAACCCAGAAAGAATTAATAATATATACAAGTATGTTTTTTTTAAATTATAGGTGTTCAAATTATTATAATTAGAATTAGAAGAATCTAATCTATCTATTCTAAAACTTTTATGAAAATCAGTTACATTTTTAAAAACTTTTATATGTAACATGTGTTCAATTTTTGTGTAATATTT